CTTTCCTCATTTCAACCAAACAGCTTCATGTCTAGAAACCCACCAGTTGTAAATGTAAAGATTACTCCTAAATTAATTGCAAGCAATTAAAATCTTGGGATTGATTGAAACTGAAGTAAAGGGAAAGGAATCATTTTAAGATCTCAAGCCATCCCTATGACTTTATACTTAAGATACAGCAACTGTGCATTCTCATTTTTAAAAACAAATGACTATGACTGCTACAGAAATAACAATATACAATTTTGGCCATTTTCATGCCTCATGAAGAAAGCTTTACCTCAGAAATAGGATACAGGATAAGCCCACCAGCAGTGTAGTTTCTAATCCAACTTTGTCAAATAATTTGGCAAGGGCGAATGCTAAATGGTAATGATGAGAATAAATTAATAAATGTTACTTTTTTTTTTTGAGACAGTCTTACTCTGTCACCCAGGCTGGAGTACAGCTGCTCAATCTCAGTGCAATGCAATCCCTGCCTCCTGGATTCAAGTGATTCTCCTGCTCAGCCTCCTGAGTAGCTGGGATTACAGGCACGCGCCACTACACCCGGCTACTTTTTGTATTTTTAGTACAGACAGGGTTTCACCATGTTGGCCAGGCTGGTCTTGAACTGCTGACCTCAAGTGATCCACCAGCTTCGGCCTCCCAAAGTGCTGGGATTATAGGCGTGAGTCACTGCGCTGGGCCAGTAAATGTTACTATTATCAAGGGTCAGTGTTTATTTAAATGAGTGACTGATATCTTGGAAGCTGTTTTCCCACTGAAATTCCAGGAGTCACAGAAGCAATGTTACCATTATCTGTTATCATTATTGTAAGAGCTGCCATTTATTAAACCCTCACTATATAAAGGCATCATGATAAGCATTTCTGATCTATTTTTCAAGTATAGTTCCTTCTAATAAGAAAATATTATCCCTTTTTTACACCTGAGGATGGGCGCTGAGCAGTTAAGTAGTGTGTGTGAGATGAAAGGGCTGGCAAAAGATCATGCAGGAATTCACCCTGCCCTGTCCATCTCCAACAAGGTGCTGCGTGTGTCACATCTCAGGTGGCTCCGGCTGCAAAATGGCCCAATACCTCCTTGCTTGCTTGCACGGGGAAATCACAGAGAGATATTATATGAAGCATCTTGTGTGCAAAATGTTTTATGCATAGGGGTGGGTCAGGGCTCCTTGCTCTGCAAAACAAACCAAATCAAACAGGAATTGGAACAGGTGGAAGGCTTAAGCTGAGCCAGCGTTTTGGTCCGTTCTTCATCGTGTCTCAATTTCTGTAATGAAATTTTCCCACCAAACAGCCACACAAATGCCTTGGTCGAGGAGACTGAATTGGGTCTTTTCCGGAGAATGACACTTCTTCCATTGAAACGGCCCCTTTCTTGGACAGGGAGCTGGAGTGTGTGTATGTCTGTGTGTGTATGTCTGTGTGTGTGTGTGTGTGTGTGTGTGTGTACTTGTTTGCCTCGTGAAGCAGGCATTCAGGTGGCACAAGGCTGAGAGTGACTTGTTTGGCTATTTGTGAAGAAGCTGGCAAACTTGGGCCTTCTCCCTGGCAGGGAGGAGAAAGGACCGCTTGTTTCCGAAATATGAGCAAAAAGACTGGTGCAGGTGGGGCCCCCATCAGTGAAAAGTTGTTGGAAGCAAAGGCTGCAGGTGCTGCCTCGCTCGGGAACACGGACGTGTGCTTCCTGGGTAGGGTGAGGGAGAAAGAGGACTGCCAATCACCAAATAGAACCGCACTGTTGTCCCAGGGGTGAATGAAAAAGATGTTTCAGTGCTGTGGACGGATCTGGATGGTTTGCCACGGAGGACAAAAAGTCTCCTATAAAATTCCATTTACATAGTCCTATCTCACTTGGGCTTTTGGTGACCAGATTCAATTGTGCTGGTGTCCCCTGTGCAGTGTGATATCATAGCTTCAGAGGAAGGCTTTATTTAGAGGTCACACTAGTTTGTCCTGGGGATGTAGTCATTTTTTGTGTCACGGACAATGTTTTACTGTGGAGATATGAGCCAGATGGCTTAGCCACTTGCAGTCCGGAGCTAAACAGTGTCTGTATTGTTGGCGAATAAACAGAATCTATTGTTTGCTGCTCATGAAACTCTAGTGCCCACCACTGTTTAGAGATGAAGTATTTAATAAATTGTTAGGTCTCGCTTAAAGAATCTGTAAAACAACATCTCAGAAGGACGCAGGCCTCCAAAAATATAAATCTCATGTGTTCTTAAAAACAAGAACAACAACCACCTTTATCTCCAGCTTTCTTCCTTCCCTGCCCCTCCATCTCTCAAGGCCATTCACTCTTACAGTAGTGAAGGCTCTGATTTTGTTTCTTTCCCATGGCAATCCATATGCTAATATGAGCAGTAACCCTCGCGCGGGGCGGTGAGGGGACAACATGATGCTTGTGTTTGGCCCCCTCCAATTTTCTCACCCCCTTCAAGCCGTGGCTACCTATTTGCCAACCCTGAACAGAACAGTGGAGCCTTCTGGGGTAGCACGTGTGCCACGGAAATGCAGTTTGGGGATGCGCTTCCTCCCTGCTTCCTGAGATGGTCCTCTCAAGATAAAAGGGGTGTAGTGTCTGGCAAGCGCCTCTCGCATGCTGAATCGGCCTCCCTCAGTGGGGGAATCTGCTCACTCACCGCAAGCAACAAAAACAACAACAAATAACACCACAGCACAGCAACCCGAAGGACCACAAAATATTTGTTTCCTTTTTGCAGAATGAGTGTAGAGTGTCACTTTCTGAGCATTTAACACTCTTGGCCTTCCCCATCTTTTTTTTTTCCAGCGTGCATCTTGTTCCTCTAAATAAAGCCCGCTTTTCCATTTAACTTCGCCCAGCTGTGGCTGGGTATATTGCAATGTCAGAAGTATTCGTTTCCTGCCTTAATTGCAGCCAGAGCCAACCTTGACTGGCAAGGAGAAAGCCACTGACAGGTTTGGGCTGTGTCCAGACCTCCTCAGACTTTCTGTCAGCCAACTGTTTGACAGTATATGCAAATGCATGCAAATGCAGGGACACTGGCCGAACACCTGCAGAAAGTGACCATCTCCACTCAGGCTTGGCCTCCCCTGTAACTGGGGGTTTTGAAATGCTGCTTGGTCGCTTTCTGTCAGTTTATTATGCGTTTGTCAGCAGAACGTTGGGCTGATAAAAACACTCCTCTTTGTCCTGAAGAGCCGCAGAGCTCCATGTGGAGCTGTAAGTGCCAGGGCTAGTGGGATGGCTCCTGGCCAGCCCTTGTGAATCCTCCCCTCTGTCTGCAGGACCCGAGCGGCAGCATCCGAACTCTTGTGGGCTTGCCCGCATGGAGGAAGGCCTTCTGTTTCCATGGGTGGAAAGATGGAGGCTTGATGGTGGGGTAACAGAGCAAAAGGCCGGCTCCCTCTAGCAGCTGGAACTTGGCGACTTTGAGGAATAATATGTCCTGGATTTTCAAAAGCCAAAGGACAATCTGTCCGGGCTGTCAGGGGATTGGGAAGGGGGAGAGGGCCCGCCACCTCAAGCGGGAATGGAACTGCCAGCCACACACGCCCCCTCCAGATTGTGGGAAGACGGCCAGGTGGCGTGACTCGGGCAGCCACTTGCCGCCCGGCCATCTCGGCTCCCATATGCTCAGGCCTTCACTAGCTTCTCACAACTTCTCTCTTGAAGAGGTGCTGGGACCAGCCAGTTAGCTGTGGTTTAAAAGTTGTGTGTGAGACTTGTGCATAGTTTTGAGTTTGGCCTTTTTGAAAGTAGGGCAGGTGACCTAAGTATCGTAGCTCCAAGACCGTGAAGACCAGTGGACAAGACCCAGATTCTGGGGACTTCCTCGAGCCATCAAAGAGGGAGAAGTAAGGTAGGGACACTGCAGACCAGTGTCCCGTGTGGTCCTTAAACACAGAGCACCAGAATTGGGGGAAGCATTTTGCAATTTTTTTTTTTTGAGATGGAGTCTCCCTTTGTCGCCAGACTGGAGTGCAATGGCGTGATCTCAGCTTACTGCCACCACCGACTCCCTGGTTCAAACGATTCTCCTGCCTCGGAGAGGCAACTACTTGGGAGAGTAGTTGAAATTATAAGCATGTGCCACAACACTAGGCTAATTTTTGTATTTTTAGTAGAGATGGGGTTTCACCATGTTGGCCAGGATGGTTTCAATCTCCTGACCTCGTGATCCACCTGCCTCGGCCTCCCAAAGTTCTGAGATTACAGGTGTGAGCTTCCGCGCCCGGCCCATTTTGCAGTTTTTTTGTGCAGCCGGGCTTTGGTTCTTCAGAATAACAAGTCATGTGGGAACGGTTGTGCAAAACAGGCCTTCTAAATCTCCCCGTCCTCTCTCCTTACAGATTTGAAGCACCTTGAAATCTGGGCAACTTCTTGTGTATTTTTGGGAACCTGAATATACACAATCTAAATATAGGAGCATGGTGTCTTGAATGTAGATCTGTAGCCAACTCTGGCAAAGTCTGAGGAGTAAGCAGGTATTGCTTGTAATGGAAAACCAGGCTGGGCACGGTGGCCTGTAATCCCAGCATTTTGGGAGGCCAAGGTAGGAGGATCAATTGAGCCTAGGAGTTCAAGACCAACCTGGGCAACCATTTAGCAAGACCCCATCTCTACAAGAATTAAAAAAATTAGCCAAGTATAGTAATAAATGCCTGTAGTCCCAGCTACTAGGGAAGTTGAGGTGGGAGGATAGCTTGAGTCCAGGAGATTGAGGCTGCAGTGAGCCATGATCATGCCATTGCACTCCAGCCTGGGTGACAGAGTGAGACCCTGTTTAAAAAAAAAGCGAAAAACAAAAAACTGATGTCAGTGTAGACTGCTGATCCAAGTCATTCATACTCCAAAATGGATTGTTCTTTGGCCTAAGAATCATTTTGCCATTCATGCAACTTACATCAATCAAATAATTGCCTACTCTTTCTTGTCTATTAAGAGAAGTGAAAAATCACGGTGAAATCTCTTGAAATGTTTGACCATCCAGTTGTTTCTCTCTCTAGAAGGAAGAGGCTGATCTCTGCACTTTCCAAAAGCTGCTGTTCTGGGACCTGGCAGAAAATTGGAGTTCATGGATTCCAAGCAGGCATAATGGCTCTCTGCAAGACCAAGTATGTACAAACATACCTTGAGCAGCTCTGCAAGCCTGATGCCTCACGAGTGGGTACCCAGGCTTCATAACTGCTGAAAATCATGGTGTGGATTATCAGCACAATGATAGTGTGGCGGTGAATGCTTGTAGTCTCAGCTATAGGGAGGCTGAGGCGGGAGGTTGGCTTGAGTCCAGGAGATTGAGGCTGCAGTGGGCCATGATCATGCCATTGCACTCCAGCCTGGGTGGCAGAGTAAGACCCTCTTTCAAAAAAATAAAACAAAAAAAAAAACTGATGTCAGGTGCTTGTGGAATCAGTGGGGTTTCCAATTATTGCTTTATTGCAGAGGGAGACAGAGGGCAGCTTAAACTCAGAAATGTATATATTAGATGCCTGCTAAGTACCCACATTGAGCATCTGCTGATAAACTGAGGCACAGTGGCATCAACAGGAACAACTCAGGGCACACAGTAGACCAAGGCCATTCATTGTTAGCACTAGGACCCCAAAGCCCAGGTCCCAGGGCCTCCTCCACATGCACCCTCTTAAATATATCACGCAGTACATGCAATAAGAAAAACTCTTGCTGGGACCAAGTAGCCACAGAAAATCCAGGGGGATCTGCATATCAATGATAAAGGCGATTTGAATTAGAAATATAGGAGGCTTCAAAAAGGGCCAGGGACATGATGGGGGAGGCCTCCAATCGGGTCCTCAGTTCCTTTGAGAATCCATGAGACTGATACTGTTTGTGGTTGTCATAACATCAGCAAGGAACGAAGGCGGGAATTTCATCAACAGGGATTTTAGACATTTTCCTAACCCCAGTGTCTGGGTAGGGTGATTAGATCCCACTCCTCTGTTCAGAAGGCCAGTGCAATTTCTATGGGTACGGTACCAGTTTTGTTTTACTGATTGGAAAGAGAGCTTGGTCATACTAGCTGTAATTCATAATGTATGGGCATCTCTTATGTAAATGAGCTCACTCTTTCCCTTAAAAAAAAAAAAAAAAAAGGGCCGGAAAGAAAATGCTACATAAATGAGACCGCTTCGTTTCTCTCCTGCTTGTTCTTTCCCTCTTTCTGTCTCTCCCTCGCTCTCTTTTAAAAAATAAACCCAAGGTAGTTGTATTTAAGCAGCTTTAATGTCCTTTCAGGGCTGCGCACAGGGTTGTGGTCACTCAGGCAGCAGTAACTTTGAAAAAATGACCCGTCTACACCCAAACAATAACAGAATCCCCCTTTTTATGTTGGAAACGCCCACGGCTTTCTGTGCATCTCCAGACTCCCCACGTAGATGCAACTGTTTGACCAGCCTTCTACTGAACAACTTAATTAAGCAAAAGAAAACGTGTCAGTTTCTGCCAACCTCACAAAAACAGAGCTGTGGGGGTAAAAAGGGTCGGCGAATTAACCCACATTCCTGAACGGGTTCACTAAAGCCAGGCCTGGCTTTGCAGCAATGCCAAGGGGAACCATCCGCTGGGTTGCCATTCAAATTTATCAAGACATATTGTTCTGTAGATCATACAGAACACAATTAAAGCTGCAGTACCTCAGGGGGCCACAGCTCGGGTGTGAGCTTAGTTTAACTTAAAAAAAAAATCTTGTCACGACACAGTGCCTACCATTGACATTCTGCACAGTTACGGAGACAAAACAGTTCTATCTGACCATATGAAAACAGCAAGTTGTTTTTAGTTTTTTCCCCTGTTTAGTGTCCCTGCCCTCCCTCTTCCCCCCTTTTCCCTCTCCACGAAAGCACATGCAATATGCAAAGCAACTGTATTCTCTGCATGCAATTTGTACTGGCCAGACCCAACCCGAATTTAATCCTTTTTTTTTCTTTTTGTCCTGAGGGCGGGGAAGTGTCCCAGCTTAAATCCTTCTCTGGAAGCTGGGAAAGCAGAGGCCCCAGGAATCCTGTTTCCTAGCCAATTAAATTTAGTTTTCTTTTCTTTTTCTTTTTTTTTTTCAGGCTCGGGTTTTGATTTTGCTTCCTTTATGTGAAGCCAGGAGGGAGCTTAGCGCCCAGCCCTCTGTGCCCCACCCCCATCACATCTCAGCCTCCTGCAGTCACGGGGAAAAGGGGAGGCTTTCAGTGGTAGCCAGAAGGAATTCAGAAACATCACATTTCATGTGGGGAAGAATTGGATCAGCACCAGTTTGCATGAGATTGTGACGTTTTTATCCCAAATTATCCTCCCTTGGTCTGTGTGTGTGTGTGTGTGTGTGTGTGTGTGTGTGTGGTGTGTCTGTAGGAAGTCATCATGTACAATTATGCTATGCAGAAAACATCCCACACTTACAAATGCATCACCCCACATTCTGGCTCAGGAGACACAGACTCAAGTCCCCTCGCAGTTGTCTAATTTTGCAGGGAAGCAGCTATCCCGAAGTTTGCAGGTTGAAGACCTTTGAGTTATACACATCAGGAAGAAGTGTGCTCTCCAATCCCAGATGAGCTGAAACACCAACGTTTTTCTGAGGGGGTAGTTAGGGGTCCTATCTTTCCAAGCCCTTTTCGATGCAAGGAGCCATTGATGAAGGAGCATCTGTGCTTGGTGTCTATTGCAGGTGTTCTTTGGTGTGGAGATGTTTTCAATGAAAGATTAGAAAGTGGTTCAATTATCAGAAGTCCCTATTTGTTTGCTCTAGATCAGCTTTTGTTTGCTCTGTCACTCAGGGAGAATATTAACCACTTTGGCTAGGTAAGCTGGAAAGACATTAGCCAGTGCGGAAACGATCGGCAGACAAGTGAGGGGATTTGGCAGAAGTTTGGCATGGAAGAAGAATGAATAGAGCCGCGGGCAGAATGCAATAGTGGCAACAGGCATGCATTCTTTGCAGATGTGCACCGAAGGCTGCGGCTACTGTGTCTATTTCTTCTGGCTTCTCTCTTGAGCTTCTGACACTGTACAGAAAGTGGGTCGGTCCTCTGAGAGGCTTGAAAAATGCCAAAGTTTACTGCCAACTGGTTGGAATATGTGCCACACATGCATAAAGCAGAGAACGTAGGTGGTGAAATGCAGTCTGCAGGTCCTATCTGACAGTTATCCAGACAGTTCATCTCAAAATAATCATTCTGCCGTAAACGTACAGATACTGCAGGCAAAAGCCATCCCAATTCAAAAGCAGTAAAAAGAATGGTGTATTCTTTTAAGGGTTCCTTATTATCTACAGAAAATGATCCACATGTCCCATTAAGGTTCTCTAAGAGCTGGGACCAGCTTATATGTTTATCTTTTTTGCCAAATAATTCAGGCTCCAGAGGGATTTTTCTTTTTGGTCTGCAGGGTGAAGCTTGTCTGGTGGGCATCTTTTGCAAACTACAGCCACTCAGTTGAGCTCATTCCTCTGAGGTCTCTGTGCTGTCCCAAAATGGCTCTTCTGTGGCCCAATGGAAAATCTGAGCCGAGAGGTTTATGTAGACATAAGGCCTCAGAGAAGCATCTGATCCTTGGGGCGGGCGTGCCAGCCAGCTGGGCCCCTTACCCTGCCTTTGGTCTCACTCCTGGCCTTTGCTCTGGGATTCCTGCCCTCTGGGATGCCTGGCCTTGTCTTCCTCTGTCCCCAGGACAGGAAGCGTCATCTTTGCCAAGGGCCCAGGGCCGCTCTTTGTGCTTTCAGGGGTTCAAGTCTCCTCTCTACCTCTGACCTGCCGTATGATCTTAGGCAAATTATTTACCCCCTGTGCCTCAGTTTACCCATCTGTAAAACTGGGCTAATAATAGTATCCAACCTCAGGGAGCTGTTGGGAGGCTTAAGTGGGTTAATTTATGCACAGGACTTAGAACCCTGCCTGCAGCAGAGTAACAATAGTTATTGTCTCTCCTGTTAGTCTTGAACCTCTTTCAGGCCTCCAGCATTGCTTTATTTATTGCAATAAAAGTTCCACAACTAAATAGTCCCCAAACTGTCTCCCCTCTGTTGGGCACTGCACAGGGCAGGTATAGTCTGGGTTTACAAACCTTCCTTCTATTGATATGGGCTCAATACCCTTGGCTTTCCAACCAAATCAGAGTGCCAGTCCCTGGAAAGATTTCCCATAACAAATGGCAGCAGGACAAAGGCTGAATTCGATCAGACCCTTCTTTCACCTTGTTGGTGGTGCAGGGAGAGGGAGAAGGGGCAAAGACCAGAGGCTGGGGATGCTTAGAGCTGCCCCATGCCCACCGACCCTCCAACTCCCTCACTCCACTCCAGGAATGGGGCTCAGAGATATAAAGTGACTCACCCAGGGTCACACAGCAAGGCCTGGGCCTAGAACCCTGTTCTTTAACCTCTTGCCTGTTTGTTTTTTCTGGGAACCATCATTACATTCAGATGGCAAGGTCCTATGGAACGGGGCATTCAACACAGCCTTAACTTATTCACATGTTTCTGTTCATTAACTTCAGGATTAATGAAACCCCAGACGGGGTTTAACTTGCCGCTGCAATGTAAAGAGAAACTGACCACCTTCCTCTCCCAAATGTGCTTGGGTGTGTGTCTTAGATACATAAGGACCGTTTGGACACATCTAAGGATTGCGATCCAGCCAGGCAATACCAGAGAAGTAGCGCGACAGCCACACATGCAAGGTTCTAAACACCTGAATTCCAACGACCCTCAGCACCCGCAGCCCAACGCGCTCACCCTGGCTCCCTGGCTCCCTGGCTGCCCCAGAGCCCACCCGCCCTGGAGCTGCCTAACCCTCGCTTAGCGGCTGGGAGGTTTCCTAACAAGCCCGAGCTTGATGGGAGCCTCTTGTTGGGTGAAATTTATGACCGGGCACTTCCTCCGAGAGACTTCCCACGTTGAATTGTTGAACGCTTCTGACCTTACCGCCCCAAACAAGAGAAGGGTGGGGAGGAGAGGCGGGGCGGGTGGAGGCTGCGGGGAGAGGGAGGCGTGGCTCAGCCAGATGTCCAGGGGTGGGAGGTGCAGAAGCCGGGAGCCAGGACCTGCGGGCCCCTGGGTGCAGGGACCGGGTCGCTGAGGGCGCGCGGCTGTCTGATGCGGAGCGCGCAACCCGTC